TCGGATTCACAACTGCCTGTGTTGTTAACTAGAGCTCCAAGATATATCATAGATGAGACTACCTCGCATCCCGCAATAGTTTGGGTTTCAGGAAACTGTTGTTGGCGATCAATAACCATGATTTTGGTTTTGTTGTAGTTAACCATGAGTCCAAATTTAGCACTTTCTACCTCGAGTTTTTTTAATAATTTAATAATTTCTTCTGGAGTAGAGGCTAGAAGTGTAGTGTCGTCTGCGAAACGCAAGTTAGATATCTTAACACCACCTAGGTTTACTCCTCCCTCCCAACCATCCAAAACTCTGCGCATTATGAACTCCGAATAGATGTTAAATAATAAGGGAGATAAAACGCATCCTTGGCGTACTCCCTTCTCCAAAGTGCATTTGTCAGACAGATATCCGTCCATTCGAATATATGCCAGGTTATCTTGATACAGTTTGCTAATAAGGTGAGTCAAGTGTTTAGGTACACCCATTGTCGTCAATATGTTCCATAGTTTGTCCCATCTAACATTATCAAAGGCCTTTGTATAATCGACGAAACATATAAATATCGGGATCTGGTATTCTCTGGCTTTTTCTATGATGTTTCGTACATTAAGGATTTGTTCTCTAGTACCTCTGCCCTTTACAAATCCAGCCTGCTCAGGTGCTATTTGCCAACTTATGAAGTTTTCTAGACGCCGTTGCAGTATGTAGAGGATCACCTTACTGGCGTGTGATATTAGAGCTAATAGCCTGTAGTTGTTACAATTATTTGTTGAACCTTTCTTATGAAGAGGTATGATTATGGTCTTTCTCCAATCCTCAGGCCAGACGCCTGTGTGCCATATTTCATTGCACAATCGATGTAATATTTTCACTCCACATTCCGGAAGATGCTTCAAGACGTCTGCAGTAATGAGATCATATCCTGCTGCTTTGTTTAACTTAAGTCTTTTTAAAGCGAATTCCACCTCGGAAAAAAGTATGTCAGGTTCAGACTCAAAACTAGTGTGGTGTGTCTCTGTTGAAGGAGAATGGAAAGTGGAGGTCTGGCAGTCAGGTACAAACAGGGCGTCCGCTGGCATCTGGTCCGTATTGGCGTATAAAGACTTACAATACGCCCTCCAAACATCAATAACCTTGTCCAAATCCGTCTGTACATTACCTTCATCATCTTTGATAGACCAAGATTTCTGCTTGAATTTACGTGTGAGTTGTCTGACTTTATCAAAGAGTTCTTTGGTGTTATTTGTGTCGGCGTGTAGTTGAATTTCTCTGCAGATTTTCTCTATATGCTTGTTTTTGTCTCGTCTACAAGCAGCCTGAATAGCTCTAGATAGCTGTCGGTACTGGGAATTCCTGAGAGGGTTCTCGATTCCAGCAATTTTAAGTTTCATTTCGTAACACTATAATTCAAAAATACTCTCCTGCTGGATATGTGGAAGTATGAAGTACAGCAAAACTTAACCCAGTCCCTACAAAGTTCACTACCTGGATCACCAGTTTTTTAAAATGTAGAGTAAATTGAATTTTATACCCATGATCCGACCGGGAAATAAAAAAGGAGATTGTGAGGTAACTGGTTTGAGATGCTTTCAATATAAGCCTGAAGGTGGGGTTAAGTATAAATTAAACTTTTCAGATGATTTTTCGGATCTTCCGTGCAGATTAAAAAGCCAGCAGCTGATGTTACAAAAATTCCTATTCAGTCAAGGAAGTTCACTGATCTACAAGAGATTATCTGTCTTGCAAAGAAATGTACATATTTTTTATGATAGTCTTCCTCGCATGAAAAACTTCAGCACTATTTCTAGCGGAAGTGTGTGCTCATATATTTTAAAATAATGTATCTTAATACGAATAAATGTTTGCATTTCTATATTGTTTATTTCTATTTTCCTAAATCTTCCTTTCAAAATGGATAGATTTAATTTTGATACTTATAGATATTAACTGATTCAATAATAATCAATACTTAATTATTAATTATTTTTAACAAACTATTTAACAACAATTATTAATTTTCTTCTGTGATGACTTTAAAGAAAACCTTACATATAAAATAACAAGGGTAAGGAAACCATGTATATTCTGCAAAAGCAAGAAAACCATGTAAATATAAATGGACTAAAATGGATAACCTTGTATTTCACTGGTTAAAAGAGATAATATCAATTTACACATATTTCAGTATTTTTATGCTAACTGTAATATCATTACTTTAGTGTTTCAAGAAATTTTATCAATCATTCTATTTTAAGGTGTCTAATCAGTTTTTACTGTCTCCTGTAAAGTTTGGTTTTTGTTATTTATGAGGTTTTCTATTTAAGGAGATGATATGTATGTCTGTGGATCTGATACAAAGAAACTATATATTAAGTTTGAAGGCACTATGCAACTACCAAACAGTTATTGCACAGATGGTCAGGCAGGCAGACAATACAATTTCAAAAACCTGTAGATTCCTAATAAAGTTCAACAAAAGGAGCTTCAACTATAAAGAAAAAATATATTTTTTGTTTTTATTTCAACCAAATTAGTTAGTATTCGATTATATATTAATCAGTTCTTTATAATTTGTTACATTCCAGTTTTTTGCAAATACTTGCAAAGCTATAAAAATATTGTAGAAGGAAAAATATAGTTAATTTAAAGGCTTGTCACTTTGTTGTCATTACTTTGTTGTAACTGGTTATTTTTAAATTGTGAGCCCATATTCTACTCAAAATTTACTAAACGATAACTATCAACTAAATATCGAACTTATTCAACTTCTTGCAGCCACTTTGATCTCGGTCTTCCCCTTCTCTTTCTTCCTCCTAGATTCCATTCTATCATTGCGTATGTCACTGCCTCATCGCCTGCTCGCCAAATGTGACCTAACCATCTAACTCTGCATTGCTTTATTTTAGTTACGATGTCTTCCTTAAGTTCTTCCTTAATTTCTGCATTTGTTCTGCTTCTATATTCATTTTGCTCTGTTCTGATTGGTCCTAGTATGGTTCTCATAATCTTTCTCTCTGCAATTCTTAAGTCTTCTTCATCTTTTTTAACCATCGTCATTGTTTCCCCTGCATATAATAATATTGGTCTAATTATGGTGTTATAAATGCTCATCTTGCTTTTTTTAGTCAGTGTTTTGCTTTTAAGTAATCTTTTGTTTGCAAAATAAGCTTTATTCGCTGCTAATATTTTTTCTTTTATTTCGGATTTCCTTTCTCCGGATTTACTTATTGTAACTCCTAGGTATTTGAAGTATTCTACTTCTTCAAACTCGGAACTTCCTATTTTGATTTTTTCCTTTATTGGTTTTTTCCCTAATCTTAATATTTTTGTCTTTTCTTGATTTAATCTTAGCCCCATTACCTCCCCTTTCTCTCTTATTTCTTCAAGCATTTCTTTCATTATTTTTCTGTTCTTTGCAATAATAGCAATATCATCTGCATATGCAATTATTTGACCACCTCTTGTTCTGAGATTTCCTTTATTTATATTTCGCAGTACATATTCTAATGCTAGATTAAATAGCGTTGTTGATAAGGCATCTCCTTGTTTCATCCCTTTATTTATACTGAATTCCTCTGTCTCTCCTCTTTGTGTCTTTATGCTTATTTTTGTAGTTCTCATTGTCATTTCTATTAATTTTCTGAGTTTATGTGGAATTTTTAATTTTTTAAGTGCTGTCATTAATATGTTCCTTTTAATAGAATCAAATGCCTGTTTGAAGTCTATGAATAACATTTCCAGTTCTAATTTATACTCGTTTGCTTTTTCCATTATTTGTTTTATTGTGTGTATTGCATCTATTGTAGATCTTCCTTCTGTGAATCCACATTGGTACTGTCCTACTGTCATCTTTGTGATCTTTGATAACCTCTTTTTTATTATTGATGTCAATATTTTATAAAAATATCGGACTTACTCAATTAAAAAAATGATAACTAAAAAAAATGTTATGGCAAAATATAACCTCATGCAAAGCTTTATAATTTGCTGTAATACAAGAAAAACAGAGTAGGCAAATGTTAAAAACGTTGCTTATTAATAGGACTTTGTTGTGCATTTGTAATTTATTATTTTTAAGTACTAGATCATATCAATTTAAAGTATTTTTTTTATTTAGTTCATCTATGTATTGATACGCCATTCTTTCTTTTTCTTTTGAGCATTTGTGTTTTAAGTTTTTAACATTGTTTCAATCTTGCCAATTAGTTTTTAAATAATTCCTATAATTAGCTTCTGCTTCAAGCTAACACTTACCTTTTTGATCTTTTTCTAATGTGTTGATTAAAGTAAACTAAAATTTATATTATTTAAATATAATAATTCCTCAAAATTAGATTTTATGCAAAATAAAATGCGATACAATTAATGGGTAATTGCTGTAAAAAGTAGAGTACCTATTTGATTCTACACTTTTAAAATATATAAACAAAAATCCTGCTAAGTGTTCATTTATCCTATATACATTTTTTGTTTGTTTCTATATACATTTGTTATGACTATATAACATAGATTAAATAAAGTTTATTTATAATCCTAAGAAATTAACATCCAAACCCTGTACACAATGTAATAAATATAATTTTTATTAATGGTATTACATATTACCTGTTTATCACTTATTTACAAACTATACACAATTTGCAAACTAATTTGAAGACATTTCTGTTATACACAATGAGGAATATTTAAAAAATATGTTTATATAAACTTTGAACGCCTGGTTATCAATATTAGATTATTTATTATTTACTAAAATATTGATTTTGTTTAGATATATCTACTATGCTTACAATAACCACTGCTTTCACTCTGTTAAGAAAGTAAAAAATATAAAACGTGTGGACCAATTTTTTACATATTTTAGTATTTTAAATACCGGTAGAAAAAATAACAAGAAGTGTAAGAAAGTAGTTCGATTCAAAGGTTGTTAATAAACACAACAGTCAAGATCGTTAAATTAAAAGAAGAAAGATGTAGTTAAAACAAATCCAATCATAAAAAAGAAGAAAGTATCGTTATTATAGGTTATAATTTTGTATTTTCATTTTCAAAGTCAAGATGAATAAAGTTCAAAAACCAAAATACAAACATTTCAACAGAAAACAGACAAGGTCCAGTTTGGATATTAATTTAAAAGGATTCTTATGTAGTTGTAATAGCAGAGAAAAGGAGTGCATAACTGAAGCCTACAATTTGTTAAATAAATATGCAGATATACTATACCCAGTTCAACCAGAACCAGAAGAGAAGTCTGAAGACAATACCAACAATTCTGAACCATCTATAGAAGATGAACTACAGAAGGAAATATCTGCACTAAAATCAAAGAAAAAAAGGTTTCAACAGGTGGAATCTGGTGCTAAAAATTTTCTTTTTATTAAAACCACCTTAGAAAATCCTGTAGAATTAGCACATAAAATTGTATCTGCTATCAAAATTAATAATACCGCCGAGACAAGATTTTTGTTAAGACTGATTCCAATTGAGGTAACATGTAAAGCATATGTTAAAGATATTACTACTGCATTTGAACCACTTGCCGAAAAATATTTTAAGGATAGTCCCACCACATTTGCAATTGTTTATAATCATAGAAATAACAGTAATGTTAATAAAGATGAATTACTCAAAGCTGTAGCTGAATTAGTCTCAACTGCTAATCCCAGCAATAAAGTTGATTTAAAAAATGCCAATGTATCTATAGTGATTGAAGTTATTAGAAGCATGGCATTGATTGGGGTAGTTCCTGATTTTACCAAGTATAAGAAATACAATTTATTGGCAGTTGTTGACACTGAACAAGTTACAGATCAGCAGATGGATGAACCCAATGATGAGCAAAATTAGTATGAATATTAGAAAGAAAATGTATAACTTATTGTATACATATATGGAACCTGGGATGTTCTAATAATTACTGTATTTTTAATACAAATATGTTAATCACTGATGAATTTGAAGTATTTTCCATTCACTTCATTAATAAAACTTATCTTTCACAATAAAATTGTTTTATTTTTATATTGATGGTAAATTCTATTTTCTGATAGTGTTTAATTGACAGTGCCATCACTACTAACCATTGAATAAAAATAGAGGTACTTATGGTAAATTTGTTCAGCAAATTCCAAACTGTAAACAAACTCATGTTTTGACATTTGCCCTCTCATTCGTCAAGTGGCTATTAAATATAATTTATTGTCTTAAGCCAGACAGATTCTCATTTTACAGGTCCAAACTTGCCAGTCTGTTTAAATTCAAATTGTATTTTTAGTATGTTGGTTTTTAAGTAAATAATATATTGTGTGTTACATGTTATAGTTATTGCTAAGTTATTTACTTGTGGTGATATTTTTTAGTGTTTAGTATTAAGTTTTATAGTGTGTAGTGAACTTTTAGTATCTAAAAACAAAGTATTTGTTAATCAAAAGTAAAAATAGCTTGCAGTAATCACTTTAATAAATGTAAGAGAAACCAATATTTTAATTTATTGATGTTTCAAAAAGTTTTATTTCCTTTTTAGTCCGTTTATTCACTGTTTTTACTGTAAATATTAAAGAACCACTTGGATTGACAAGAAATTTGGTATATTTGACTAATAATAGACAAAAAGACTGTCAGAATCTGTCACATTGGCAGTGAAGATGGGTTTGTTCCAGAAGGGCTGTGGAGTGTGGGTGTTTGAATAAAAAAAAGTGGGGACTACCCCCACTTGGTTCAAAAATATACTGCCCCAATTAGAAGACAACTCCATCATCATATTGGACATGTTTTATCATTCCAGAAAATTGGAAAAAATTCCAAATACTGCTTCTAGAAAAGCTGACATCCAAGCGTGGCTGAAATCAAAAAATATATGGTTTGAGGATCCATGTTAAAAGTGCAACTGCTGGATATCGTTAAGGAACATAAGGGACAATATATAATATAATATATATCATTGATGAGATGGCAAAAAATCAAAACAAAGTAGTGTTAAGGCTGCCTTATATCATTGTGAGCTCAATCCGATTGAGCCCATCTGGGCAGAAGTAAAAAATTATGTAGCAGCCAAAAACACTACTTTTAAATTTGCAGATATGAAGAAATGTGTGCAACATGTTCACCAAAAAGTCAATTCCAAAATGTGGAAGTTGGACAATATAATAGAGAACCAAATCGAACCCATAATAATAAATCCAGACGAAAACAGCTGCACATGTAGCTCCTCAGACTCTGAGTAATTTAAATGGTATATTTTTATGCTTTGATAAACTTACGAAAATGCTACTTTATTCAAAATGTTCATTTTGTTATGTATCTCTGAGTTAATGAATATTTTATTTTAGCACATTTTTCTTCAATGGAACATTAACATTTACTTACAATGATTAAATTTCAAGAAATTCTTACAGTAATAGTTTCCAAAGTAAATATTTTTAAAAATCATATTGTTGCCGTTAATGCAAAATGTCTATATGTTAAAAAATGCACTTTTCAGGAGACAAAAAAAAACTGACTAATATTTACTATGTGAATAGTGTTTTTTTTCCAGATTAAGAAGATATACTTAAACACAAAGGATCAATACATATGTATGTCTTTTAATTTGGAGAAAAACACTATTCACACAGTAAATATTAGTCAGTTTTTTTTGTCTCCTGAAAAGTGCATTTTTCAACATACAACAGTTTGCATTAACAGCAACCTCAATGTGACCCTGTTTGGCTTTCACGTGACAGTTGGGAATTCTTAAAATGAATGTAGTTTAATCTCTATTTTTTATTTTTTGTTCTTTATGATTTCAACTCTTTATTTAGAGAATATTATACGTCAACCTTTACAAAGCTTAGGTATACATAGGTTGCGTTAATAAAAAACAAACCAAAATTAAAATCAAACAAAATTCAATTAAAATGGTAGCTTAAGGTATTAAATAATGCTCAAAATCGCTCAAATGATTTCTTAAATGCTGCTGTAGATATTCCAAATAACTCTAAATTATTGCTGTGCTCATTAGCAGTTCGTAAAATTCTTGTAATGGGTTCATTTTGGCCATAATTCGTACTGTGGAATGGAATGTTGAAAATCTCAGTGTTACGAGTTCTTCTAGTATTAACATTAAAACTTATTAAACTTAGTAACTCTGGATGTTGAACATATCCATTTATAATTTTAAAAAGGAAACATAAATCCGCTTGACATCGTCTATCATGTAGTGATGAGATATTTAGTATTGACAGTATATCATCATATGTGTATTGCTGTCTAAGAAAACCAATTTTGTAAGCACATACCCTCAAGAATTTATTTTGAACTCTCTCGATACTGTAGATGTCACTGTTATATGAAGGAGACCAAATGAGAGAACCATACTCCAAAACTGATCGAACTAAACTAAAGTATAACATTTTTAAAGTTTGTACTGAAAACTGATTACAGTTTCTAAGAATAAATCCTAACATTTTTAAAGCTTTAGCTGAAGTTTCGTTAATGTGATTTTTAAAAGTAAGTTTAGAATCAAAATTTATACCTAAATCTTTAATATTATGACGTGCCTCTAAAGGTACATTATTTATATAATAATCATAATTTACAAACTCTCTTGATCTTCCAAAAGTAATTTTAAAACATTTTTGTATATTTAAGTATAGCATGTTTACCTCACACCAACTAGCTAAGCTTTTAATGTCATTCTGTAATAAAGAGGCATCAACTAGGTCATTAACTATTCGAAATATTTTAAGGTCATCAGCAAACATTAGAAATTTACTATTTTTAATCACTGAGGATATATCATTAACAAATATATTAAATAAGAGAGGCCCAATATGCGACCCCTGAGGAACTCCTGAGGTTACAGATACTCGTTGAGATAAACAATTTCCATATTTAACATACTGACATTAATTACTTATTAAATTCATCATTGTCATTATCTTTTCCTTTATACCTATATGAACTGCTTACTGCAAAAAGGGGACTTCCAATAAATTTTCATAAATTTACTTTATGTTATTATTGCGTTCTTTACACGTAAACACATCGTTTTCAACAAACAGGGGACTTCTGTGTCTATTCTAAGTATATTAAAAATGGCGGCTAAAATTTCTTTAACTGCAAAAAGGGGACTTTTACAGCAAAAGTTTCCTTTTTGCAGTTAACACACAGCCGCAGTGTGGTGCTGCGCTCGTGTCGGCGCATGTTTTCTCTTCAATACCAGCACGACTACCAGTAGACAACAGCGGTGTCCTCGTAGTTCGACTTGAATTATTTATAAGAGAGGTTTGTTCTATCATATCTCTAACTTTGTTTGCAATGGCTCGTAGCAATGCTAGTAGTGATAGTAATTCGGATACACCTTGCATAAGAAAAAAGGGTGTTGTGAATTCTTATAAATATGCATGAAATAATTATCGTGATGCAAGAGTTTGCAGTGTTTCTTTTGTCAATGCAGCCGGAAAGGAGATACTAGCTCGTGTTCCCGCCTTAGAATGTGGGCAAGTAGCAGTTTTAGCCATAATGTAAATATGAGTAATATAATTACTCTTCAATTTATTGTTCTTTTATTTTGTAACTTAATGTAATAATCATTCGCATTGCATTTGGCTGACATTCTAACACAATTTACTAAGATTATTTAAGTTATATTAATCTGTCAATTATTTTAAGTTGTTTTAATATCTGCCTCATTTATTTCAGATGCAAGTTGATGTGTTTGTCTCACTGGAATGCTGAGGAGAAGACCACGCTTCTCTCCACATTCAACAACTTATCCAATAAAGATGAACAGGATGTTTTCTTGCAAGGCCTTTTTTTTACTTATAGAACTGGTACTTTATATTACTTGATTATAATGGCAAATAAAGGTGTTTTCTGGCAAGTAGTGTTTATATTATTCCCCATAATTTTTATTTGAATTACAGTTAACTGCAAAAAGGGGACTTCTACACAACATTAGAATGTGAATATTATACAAATATAATTAAAATTATTTACCACTTATTTACATCACTGTATATAAAGTTATATTGAACATGTATACCAAGTTTCCTGATTATAAGTGATTTGATTATATAATTATTTAGTTTTTACCTTCTCCTGTAAAATTTACTTTTATGCAGATGTCCCCTTTTTGCAGTTAGCAGTTGATATGTGGTTGGCTTTCCTAATTACATTTCTATATGAGTTTTTGTTTTGCCCACACCAACATCAATTTTACAGACACGCCTACCTATAAGCATCTCCCTAGGTCTTCTTTGGTATTTCTCTCTTACTCCTTCCAGGAACCTGTAGATTAGCCTTCATAGTAGATGATTAATGTTTCAACATTGAACATGACCAAACCATTTTAATCTATAATAAATATTTTCTACTTAAAAATATATATTTGTAAAAAATTCAGTAAATACAGACAAAAAAAATTATATTCCTGTACATATTATTTCCTAGTTACTGTGTCTAAAAATTTATCCCCCATGTAAAGTAGATATAAAAATAATCTTGTCATTTGGTTGTATGAGGTAATTGACTGTGTCCTAAAAATAATATAATATAAGAATTTAGAAAACAGTTTAATAAATATTTACCATCAGTTCCCAATCTGCATCATTGACTAAAACTAAAATTCCTGGACGTCTAAAATAAATTTCAACAAACATTAATGAAATTTGAACAT